CCTGACGCGGGGCTCGAACTCACGGACCGCGAGATCGTGACCTGGTTGAAGTCGGACGCTTAACCGACTGCGCCACCCAGGCGCCCCGGGGATGCAGATTAAATAGTACACTTACCATGATGAAAATAAAATAAATAAAAATAAAATAAAAGGTATATTAAGTTTTAGTCTAATATTATATACATCACATATTTCAAATATAAAAAGTGTCCTACACTCACTTCATATACAGTTGCCTTCGGGAAGCAGGATAATTTCTTATAGCTATATTCAGTGAAGATGGGAATAGCTGGTAACCACCTTCCTATCATTTTTAACACAATAATTAAAAAGAATAGAGCTGTTGGGAAACATTCATCTAAAACTGTCAACAAAGCATACACTTGGAATTCTTTAATAAGGTTTAAAAAAACATTTCTATTCAAATTTATTTGAAATATGTGCTTGTCACAAGTGCACTCCTTAATCCCCATCACCTATTTAACCCATGCCCTCACTGCCCCCTGCCCCAAGTCCATAACCACCACCACCTTCTTCTCTATAATTAAGAGTCTCTTTTTTGGGGGAGTTTTTCTCTATTTTTCCCTTTGCTAATTTGTTTTTGTCATGATATATCACATCTTTATCCATTCATCAATCAGTGGACACTTGGACTGTTTCCATAATTTGGCTATAGATAATGCTGCTATAAACATCAGGTACATGTATCCCTTTGAAATAGTATTTTTGTATTCTTTGGGGTAAATACCCTGTAGTGTGATTCTTGGATAATAAGGTAGTTCTATTCTTTTAATTTTTTTAAGTTTTAAAATTTATTTTGAGAGAGAGAACACAAACGGAGGAAGGGTAGAGAAAGAAGGAGAGAATCCCAAGCAGGCTCTGAACCATCAGTCCAGATGGGACTCGATACCATGAAACACAAGATCATGACCTGGGCCAAGATCAAGAGCCAGACACTTAACTGACTGAGCCACCAAACCGCCCCTATTTTTAATAATTTGTGGAACCTTCATACTGTTTCTTAGAGTGGCTGAACTAATTTGCATTTCCACCAACAGTACAAGAGGATTCCTTTTTTCTCTGCATCCTCACCAACACTTTTTTTTTGTTTCCTGTGGTTTTGATTTTAGCCATTCTGACAGGTGTGTGGTGATATCTCATTGTGGTTTTGATTTGCATTTACCTCTTGATGAGTGATATTGAGCATCTTTTCATTTGTCTGCCTGCCATCTGGATGTCTACTTTGGAGAAAAGTGTCTTCATGTATTCTGCCCATTTGTAATTGTATTATTTGTTTTGGGGGGTATTGAGTTGTAATATACCATTCAATATTAAATGTGGACTAAGAGATTTTCAATTTATAAAATATTGGCATAAATTTAATCCTAATATTGATGTATATTGTTGTTGCTGTGATTGTACTATACCATGTTAATATCACTGATATAATTTAGTGTCTTATAAATCTACCTTTCTTTGTCAATGTTTTGCTAATCATTTTACAATGTGCAGTTCTGGAATAATAAGGTAATTTATACCTTAGACATAGTATTAAAATGATGGAATGGTTCTGGTTTTGCTCAACAATTGATCTCTCAAGTTTTTGCATTTTCTGGTATTAATCCTGTTTATTGGTGCAATGTTTTTGTAAAGAATTGTCACTGTTGCAATGTGGTTTCTTGAATTATTTATTAAAATCCTTCCCTTCACCTCACCATTCCTGTTCATTAAAGCATAACAATATCTTATTGATCATAATTGGAATTTCAAATTTGTTAATGTAAGATTCTATCAATGCATCAATCATAAATTACCTCCCTGCTCCTAGGCAGTAACTTTATAGCAGCAAACACCTGGATGAAAAGAGAGAACCATTGGGGTAATCATAGGAGTGTGGTATGTTTTCAACGAATACACCAAGCTTCAACATGATCAGGAAAATGCTTTCAGGTCCATTAAGCCATTGCTATCATATTCAACCAAATTTCCTACCTTCTAAGCTTCCATGCATGCTAACTGAATGGCTTATATCAAAAACAGAACAATTAGCTACTTATTTCTTCCCCATTTGATTAAAAAAGCTTCATTCATATAGGCAGGGACAGGTACCCATCAGGGTTTATATACATTGCTGGAGAATCTGGTTTTGTTTTGTTTTTTTAATGAAACTTATCTAGTTGGAAACTGGCCAAGACTCTCACTTTAGGATTAGAGATTTACTTCAGCCACAAGGGAGCTTGAAGAGTCCTGAGGAGGAGATTCCCAAAGCTGGGTAAGAGTAGATGAGTGCATAGAAAGGTTAAAAAAGAAACCTCTCAGAGATTCTAGCAGATAGTTTGCTTAAATAGATTTTAAATCTTCAGGAAGAATACCAATTGGATCTGAAAACATAGAGTAATACAAATAGAGATACTAATGTCACAATCCCATAATGGGAATGGTAGTAGAACCACTTACCCCTGAATAAATTAACCAAATCAAGCAAATATATGGGGCAGCCCATACATTTTCTTTTCTAAAGCCAGATAGTTTGCTACTGCAGCGATTGGAATTCAACCCTTACTCCTCTTTTTGAAGCATTGTGCTTAAAAGGATGCCCTAGAAATAATTCTGTGGTTGTTTTGCATATGACTTTAAGCAATGGTTCTGTTTCCACAGTATTCTAAGTCCCAGGTTAAGTAGCTATGTTGTTGCAGATCATTATAATAATATAGTAGTCTGCACTTTACACACACTTTTCTTCATTCTCTAGTGTGGAAGATCAAAGTAGAGTACAGTTTCAAATTGGGGGCCATGGTTTTATGTTTTATTCAGTTTTTTTTTTTTTTTTTGTACAAAAGCCTGCTGTGTATGAAGAGATTAGCCTCTGTAAGACCAGATCTGAGAACAAAGTAACTGATCGCTTTTTTACCACATATTTTTGCATGTTATCATGCTCTTATTAATGAGTGTATTCTTTGTGAGTTAATAACAACTATTCTTCATTAAAACTTTATACGTGTATGGTAAAGCATTGGAATGGGAGGCAGTAGTGGTCAGTTAATGGCTTTCAACATATTAGCACTTTCGATAGCGCTAATTCATTATGATCCCAGATTTGTTTAGATTGCTTGTAAATAGACCATTAGTAAGTGTTGTTTAGTCTTCTCAGAGGCAGCTAAAATCCTAGGTTATTAAAGTTTTTGAAATCATTATTAAAATGAGTTATCTATGCTAATCATACTTTCCTAAGAAGTAAGACTAATAAATTAAACTCTAAAAAGGGAATTTTCACAAAGCCTTCTCATGGAAAGTTGTCAAATTGCAGTCTGTTCATACAAATGTTTTTCAGGTGAAAGTGAATCCTCCTGGGATAAGGATAAGTTGCAGTCTCTTCTTGCTGCTCCTGGACCCCAACATGGACTTACTCATGCAGCCCTGTCTAACCAGCCAGGTCTTGGGGGTGCTTCTACCCTCAATCCACTGCAGCAGAACAACCTACTGACCAATAGTATGTATGATGTAATTTCAAAACTTGGTGTTTGGGAAAAAAAAAATACCACGCAAGACCAATTGGACACCTTTGGCTAGCAGGGCTAGTACATTTTTCTTCAATAAGGTTTAACAGTTTGAAGTTATAAGGGTAAATAGGGATCCATTTGAAAGCGTGGGATTTATAGAGATAGATCAAGAGGCTATGTAGCAGAGTAATTAAGAAAGTTGGCTATAGTCACATAAACTTAGGTTTGAAATCCAAATCTTTTGAATTCCATATTACTGTTTGACTTTGGAGGTTTCACCTAACTTTTACAGGTCTCAGTGTTCACAACTATAAAGTAGGAAAATAATATATACCCATTTAGTAAGGTTATTGTGAAAGTTAAAAATAATAAAAGAGGCTTTTAACAGTGACTTGTATATAGTAATTACTGCATAAATTGTAAGTATTATTACTCAGCAATCAAACTACAGCTAATGGATACAAATTCAGGTTTAGATGATGATTTTAGGAACTTCAAAAACTCAAAACTCTTTCTGCAGAAAAATGACTGATATACATTAGTGGACTAAAATTTTACTTTACTTGTAAGCAGGAATGTGAAAGAAAACTTACATTATTCCTTTCCTTGAGATATTCATTCTCTCACTAAACCCTAAGATTAAAACAACAGAACAGAGGAATTCTTAGATATTTTAACACAATATTATAAATCTTAATGAAATTCATCAGTTATGAAGCATATAAAATAAGTTATAGGGTCTTACTTTAAAGATATTATAAACTCAAATGTGAAAGGTCCCATAAAATAGAATGTTAAGCAAAGGTAAATAAATGCAAGAAAAGTTATAAATATCTTATGAGAAGTAAAAAAAAAAAAAAAAAGCCTGATTAAAGTAGACTTATTTCATAAAGTAGAGGAACTTATAAGACTTCTGGTTTCTGGTCTGACATTTAAAGAGTTTAGAAGTTGTTACTCCTCCTCAAAGCAAGATCAACAACTCCTTTAAATCCATCAGAGATTGAGTTCACAGGGCAGGGCTATCTCCAAAACTGGAGAGATAGGCAGAAACAGAGAATCCGAGTTTACAGGGAACAGAAGCCACGGCTGGACCCTGGTAGAAACATTTAAATTGCTGGAGACTCAGTGTGAACTTAGATGAGAGATAAAAACCCCTGGGGGGCAATCCTTAATGGATCACTACACTTTAATGAGTTCTACCTCCAGGAACCCCATCAGGTTCTCATGGTGAAGACTTGAGAAAATTCTGGCTGGGAGACAAGGAAAATACCCATTTCAAAATATGCCCAGAATGTTTTGTTCTCCTTAACAAAGCCTTGCCCTCAAAGGAAACTATTTTACCAAAGTTAAACTACTTTCTTTTTAACAGAGCCTAACTGATGTGGGGGAAAGGATATATTAAAATCCACCACCCTGTAGTCATTGATATAAGGGAAAGGAGATGCATAACTCCAGCCTCTTTAGCATTTCCTGTGTAGCAGCCTCCTCACACAGTCAAGACACTGAGACTTTTCTTTCCAGAAAGCAACTTTGTTAATGTCAACAGGGACTCAGAGGGTTCTTTTCCAAAAGACTGGGCCCCAAATGCCAAATGTGGGGTGATGTAGCCTTTTATGCATTTTCTACTTCATTGTCTCCCATACATGGGTAACATATAGACATACAGTCTGATTGGGTGGTCTCATGTTACAGGGTCTTGAGGGATGTCACTTATGCACTTAGCCAGGTTGCCTTCCCTTATCTTGAGGTCTTTTCTTACCACATTCCTTAGGGAAGTGACTTTACCACACCTATGGGGAAAGAAATACTCAACTCTAGTCACCTCTAGCCTTTCTATCTTACCTTAGATGGAAAAAGCTAAAGAGCACTTGTGAAAGTCATAGCCCGAGGACACAGGCTCACAGATTGAGACCTGATCACATCTTTCTCCTCCCTACACATTTTACCACAACCACAATAGGGCTCTGTATAAGAACAGTGGGTTACAACGGAAAGAACTGAAATCCTCAGAATGAACTGAATTTGATTCTCTAGGATACACCAAAGATAACAGGAGGATGAGAAATGACAGCCACTAATATAACAGGTACAGCAAATAGTAAACATAACCTAATTTTCAGTCAGATAAAAATAAAGCCTTCCACTAGAGGCATGCTTGTTTCAGTTTTCTTTAGCTAATATACCATTTCTGGCTTTAAAACAAAAATTACAAGGTGTGAAAAAGGCAAAAAACACAGTCTGAAGAGATAAAGCAAACATCAGAACCAGAATTCGATATAGCACATATTTTAGAATTATCAGACTGAGATTTTAAAATAACTATGATTAGTATGCTTAAAAGAAGGGAAAACATACAAGACTACCTGGGAATATTAAAACTGTATGTTAATTATACTTTAATAAAAAAATAATACATGGGAAATGTAAGTAGAGATGAAAATTGAGAAGCTAAAGTAAATACTGGCTCAAAAACACTCCAAAAAAATGAATACCTTTAATGGGCTCATCAGTAGACCAGACAAAGGCAACAATTGAAGTATGTCAATAGAAACTTCCCAAAATGGAAATAAATGTGGAGCAAAGATTGGGAAACAAAACCCAGAATAGAATATACAATTATTGTGCAGCAATTACAAACAGTGTAGCATAAATGTAATAGGAATATGAAAATAATAAGAGTGAGGGAAAGGAACAGAAGAAATGTTTAAAGTAACAAGGACTGAAAATTTTTCAAACTTAATGAGAGACACCAGACAAAAGCTCTAGAAAGCTCAGAGAATACTAAGAAGAATAAATATAAAAAAAAGGCTACACCTATGCATATTATAGTCACACTGGAATATCAAACACAAAGAGAAAATCTTTTTTAAAAAATTCAGTGATAAATAAATTCTCCTTACCCATAGAGGAACAAGGATAAGAATTACATTGAACTTCACTTCAGAAACCAGGCAAACAAGAATACAGTGGTATTAAATACAGTGGTGTGACTACTTGAAAGAAAAAATAAAACACCAACCTAAAATTCTGAATTCTGAAAATTCCTTTTAAAAGTGAAGGCAGAAATAGAGATTTTCTCAAACAAAAGTTGAGAGAATTTATTATCATACCAAAGATCTGCCCTGTAAAAATGTTAAAAGAAGATCTATAAAGAGAAGGAAAATAATATAGGTCAGAAACCTATATCTACATAAAGAAAGAATGTTAGAGAAGGAATAAATTAAGGTAAATAATACATATTTTTCTTATTCTTTTTTTCAAGTTTATTTATTTATTTTGAGAGAGACAGAGACAATGCAAGTGGGGGGAGGCAGAAAGAGGGAAAAAGAGAATCCTAAGCAGGCTCTGTGCTTCCAGTGCAGAGCCCAGTGCAGCCTTATAGTTTTTTTGATTCTCTGTTTTGTTGTTGTTGTTATTGTTGTTTTTGTTGTTCCCTTTCCTTTTCTCTTTTTAGGTGATCAGGGTTTGTTTTTTTTCCCCTTTTTTTCTATTTATTTGTTTAATAAACAAGTCAAAGAGTACTTAGTTAAAAATCCAAACACTCCTCACTGCAATCAAGGAGGCGCTCTGCACAAGACTGACCAGTAGGAAAAGGCAACCAAAAAACAACAGCAGAATGCACACAGCATACACCAGAACACTTCCTAATGTGCCAGGTCCTGGATAGCATATGTCCCCTTTTTAATATAACATTACTCTCAGGTGCAGGAAACATAACAAGCTTATAAAACCTGCAAAAGACAAAAATTTAGCCAGAATGACAAGGAGTAATTCTCCCCCAAAGGAAGGTCAAGAAGAAATCACAGCCAGAGACTTGCTCAAAACAGATATAGGCAATATATCTGAACAAGAATTTAGATAAACATTCATAATACTACTAGCTGGGCTTGAAAAAAGCATAAAAAACACAAGAGAAACCCTTGCTACAGAGATCAAAGACTAAAAAAGTAGTCAGGCTGAAATAAGAAATGTTGTAACTGAGATGCAAAACCAAGTGGATACAGTCACAATGAGGATTGAAGAAGCAGAGGAGAGAATATGTGATATAGAAGATAAAATTATGGAAAATAATGAAGCTGAAAAGAAGAGGGAAAGGAAACTAATAGATAATGAGGGGAGACTTAGAGAACTTAGTAATTCCATAAAATGAAACAGTGTCCATATGATAGAAGTCCCAGAATAAGAACAGGAAGAAAAAGAGGCAGAAGGTTTATTTGAACAGATTACAGCTGAGGACTTTCCTAATCTGGGGATGGAAATAGGCATTCAAGTCCAAGAGGCACAGAAAACTCCACTCAAAATCAACAAAAACAGGTCAATACCATGACATATCATAGTGAAACTTGAAAAATACAAAGATGAAGAGAAAATTCTGAAAGCAGCTAAAGACAAAAGGTCCTTAAACAACAAGGGTAGACACATAAGGTTAATAGCAGACATGTTCACTGAAACTTAGCAGGCCAGAAGGTAGTGGCAGGAAATATTCAATGTGCTGAATGGGAAAAAATATGTAGCCAAGAAATCTTTTTAAAAATATTTTTTAATGTTTATCTATTTTTCAGAGAGAGAGAGAGAGCACAAGTGAGGGAGGGGCAGAGAGAGAGGGAGACACAGAATTTGAAGCAGGCTCCAGGATCCAAGCTGTCAGCACAGAGACTGATGCAGGGCTCAAATTCACAAACTGAGAGATCATGACCTGGGCTGAAGTTGGATGCTTAACTGACAGCCACCCAGGAGCCCTGAAGCCAAAACTTCATCATCCAGCAAGGCTGTCATTCAGAATAGAAGGAGAGATAAATAGTTTCCCAAACAAAAACTAAATGGGTTCATGATCACTAAACCAGCCCTGCAAGCTGCAATTTTAAGGAAGAGTCTTTAAGTGGAGGATAAAAAAAAGACTAGAAGCAAAGACTAGAAAAGCAACAAAGACGAGAAAGTACCAGAGAACATTATCAGAAACAAAATGTCTCTGCAGGTAACAAAATGGCAC